CAAACTTTGCTCACGATATCAGGAGGCTGTGATGTTGTTGATTGTTGTAGCTGCACGTTTCACCAAGATGATTTCTTACTTTGTCGTTTCTTCCCCAGAGTTTGTCTCTGTCTGGCCCATATTTCACAGTGTTTATAAGATTATCCTCCCAGCAACAGTTAACTCCATGTATGAATTAGACCGAGGTGACAACTCCGAATAAATCTGCCTTGTCTGCTATTATGGCCATTACATAGTTCAGGCGCAGTTAAAACAAACTGAGTGCTGATGTCAGAAGTCCACGGTCGGAGCAGCTGAGGAGAAGCAGCCTCCGCGCTGTTGGCCCACGGCTCCAGACGAGCACCTTGATGGCTGTAATTACTGTCATGTTCCCAAAGAGATGAGAGATTCCAGAGGCCCAAATAAAACCTAAAACCTTTTTGATATGATGAATTTCTTCAGCTTCGTTTAAAATTCCCTCCGTCTGTCCCTCTGTCTGTCCCTCTGTCCGTCCAGAGTCTGACGACCGGAGCATGAGAGCTGTTCCCTTCACCTCCTTCATCTCCTTCTCCTCATCTGCGATCAAACGTGTGTTTAAAACTCATTTTGGTTCATGGGCCACATACAACCCAATTAGATGTCAAGTGGGAGTAATGGGTTCAATCGTAATTAACTATAAATAACAATAAATCCATGTTTTCCCCCATTGTTATATAAAGCATATTAGATATATATTATTTATTAGTATTTAATAAAATATAATTTTTTTTTGATTTTCAAATCTCATCAAGGTATAATTTTTTTTGATTTTCAAATCTCATCAAGCGGCCCGGATTGAACACTCTAGCGAGCTGGTTTTGGCCCGCGGGCCGTATGTTTGTTTAAAACAATGACGGTCACCTTTTAGAATTTGCAGCAGTGATGGCTGCCTGTTTGCTCCACAGTGTGCAGACTGGTTTCAGTAAATGTCCGCTGCGTGTGTGTGTGTGTGTGTTTACATTCTGCCGAATGCACTGGGATGACACTGAATCTAAACACATTCACACAGAGAGTCTGTGCACTGCACAGCTTTACTGGCACATTCCACGTAGGTCCATCTTTATGGGTCCAGCTGTCAGAGGTTCTCACTGCTTACGCCGTTTAAACCTAAGCAGTCGCCGGCTAAGTCAACAAAGATTTGAATTATGCTGACTTTTAAAAGAAGGAATTTTTATTGTTTTTGCACAGAGCAGCAGCGGAGGAAGTATTTATATTACTTTGGCAAGTTTGTGCAGCATTACCAAAATAAAAACCTATCATTTGAGCAGCGTTTCTGAGCGAATACGTCCGAATTAAAAGTGAAAACTTTTCTTTCTTATACACTCATCATGTGCAGCGTTTATTCTCTAAGGGTCATTGGGAGAAGCTGGAGCAAGTCCCAGCTGACACTGGGTGAGAGTCATCACACACCCCGGGCCAGTCGCCAACATATCGCAGGGCAAACACAGAAAAATAAACAAAACGTCTCCAAGACACTCCAATTAACCGTTAGCTAACTTTGAGCTTTAGAGTCGCTTTTCTAATTCTTGATGCGTTAAAACAAAACATAAAATAATTCTTTGTCCTTTTTTGCCTAGAAGTACATTAACAACCTTTAATGTATATATTTTTGAGTTCAGTATCTGTACTTTTCTTTTTACAGTACGGTACATTGCATAAAATGTAATTATTGTAATTAAACTCTGTCTTATTTTTCATGTTATTATTTTAAATATGTCAAATAATAATACATGAAAATTGCCGATATTTAGTTTAACTAATATAATGATCACTTTTGGTTGTTTTTCTACATTCAAATGAATGTTAATTAATGTTGCAGTAACTCCTTGATGATTACCTCAGAGTCCCTTAAATTGCTTTTTTTTCAGATTTCTTTTGCTTTTTGTTACTTTTCTGCCCCCATGTGGCAATGCAGAGCAGTCAGTTTGCGACCCAGATGTGGCAAACAGAAATGGGCCAATTCTTGTGCCATCAATCGATGCCCAATGTCTGAAGGAAAGGCTGCCACGGTCTAGATGTTTCACTGATATTTGGTTGTATATTTTACTTTATTACTACATTTGAATCCACCAGGTGGAGGGTAAAAAGTTGTATGAATCTCGGTGATTCCGTTGCTTCTCTCATGACCCTCTATATTTCCACACTCATGCCTGTACCATTAAGGTTCTGATGGACTCCACTTGGATAAAGTCCTCACAGCGAGAGCTGCCACATCCTCACAGCGCCTGTGCCAGAGCCTTAAAAATGAAAGACTGCAGCAATCAGCTGAGGTTTCACAGGCAGTTTCTCCTCTCCTTTGTGTGGCACACCGGGGAGCTAAAAACCTAATTTTGTTAATGGGATTAAGGCCGGAGCAATAACATAAAAATGGGCATGAATAGGGTTACTGTGTTAAAGGAAAGACGTACCTGATACGCCCCGTGTGGCCTCCCCTAAACATATTTCTGCAAAAAAAAAAAAAAAAACTTGCCATAAATGCAGATTAATTTAGCCCTGAAGGAAAATTCGTCATTTGTGGGCCAAGCTTCTCCTCTGGGAGAGTCAGAGTGAGGAGTCTCTATTTTGAGAAGAGGAGTGCCCACAGTGGGTAAAATGTTTGGGATGGAGTACAGTTTGTACTGGCATTAAAAAACACAAAGTGGTGTGCACGCTGTATATCGATAGCTGACCACTCAACTTTAATTTGTGCATCAAATATCTGTCTCAATCAACTTTATTTTTACACTGACAGGCTCATATATCGTGCGGCTGACTGCAGTCCTAAACGGCAAGGGGCAAAAATATCACAGCCTTGAAAGCTCCTCAAGATTCATCAATCAGACTCAACCAATAGATGTTTAAAAAAAAAAGATCTTAAAGTTCTGGTGGTGAAGAATGGCTGTAATAATTCTAAGTGGTAGGAAGGAGCTTGGCCATGTTAAAATCCAAATGTTATTACCAGGCTTTTATATTGAACTCAGTGAAACCAGTGCAGTGATTTTTTAAAATATGGGTAATGTAGACGCATTCTGTGGACTTGGTGTGTCTTCTAGTGGGATGTTTTGGACTTCCTAAAGAGGGTTCTGAGATGACATATTGAGACAAGTAAAAAAGAATTGGAATAATCAAAATGGGATCAAATAAATTAGAGTACAATCATCTCCTGCTGTGGTCTGGGCACCGTAGGCCGGGGTTTGGCCTTGTTTCTGGATGGGAAGAAGTAGTCGTCCAGCAGACTGTTAACATGCTGCTCCCGGTTCATGACTAGACCCATAAAAACACTCACATTCTCACTCAGTGCTGGTTTGACTTCAGCCAATTATGAGCCAAAATGTTCTGTTACTTTTGGAAAATTCTGTCTGTGGCAGAAACAGAAACCTCTTTCTAAGAGCAGCAGCTAACGATGAAAAGAATTAATGACAGACAACAATGTCTGGAAATTAAATCCATCCATCCACATTTATTAAATGACATCTATAATATCTAACTAATCCAACTTGATCTTGTAGTAAGAATTTGTAATGTTGTTTTCTATCAATATTTGCTGATACTTTTCGAGTCACCACTTTTTTAAATATATTTTTGATGTAAAAATGAAGGTTCAGAGGCAGCTGTCACAGCCTTACCTGACCCGACCATTAAACTGTGAGTATCTGTGTTACGCCGAGCTGAGAGGTTAATGCTCTCTCTGCCTCCTTCACTAAAGATGAATGGCAGGAGCTAAAACTGGGTTGCCAGTTTCTCTCGCTGTTTCCTGTCTTGCAGAGCTGTGACGCTGCTCTAACACAAACATGCCAAAAACCAAATTATACTTAAGGATGAAAATAACACTTAACCTCTCCGGCTGTTTAAAATGGGTGAATCTCAGGCGTGCTTCAGGATTATATCAGGTGTACGTGCTGCATTCAAAATGACAGGAAAAGCTCCTGGATAATGAGGCGCAGAGAAGGAAAGACAATGAGGAGAAATACTGATGTATCAGAGAGAAGGGGGGAAAAAGAGAGACTGATCGGCCCTTCCTAAACCACAGGTATGATTTATAAAGTAGGCTTGGTTGCTTGCGTGAAATTAATAATAGGAAATGCGAGGGTAGTCCAGCAACTTGTCCAAGATATACTTTCCCTGGCTCTCCAGGACCATGGAAAACTTGGGTGGCCTGCAAATGTGCTTCCTCTGGTTTCCAATGTTAATGTCGTTGCTTCTGCTGGTATGACAGGAGCTCCACCACAAACGTGGTTTGGGTCAGACAAAAGGGATAAGCCGTGATAGCAGCAGGCTGGGGATTCATATTTCATTTTTACATAAGAGAGGATTTCTCCCAGCATTTAAAGAAAGAAAGGAAGGAAGGAAGGAAGGAAGGAAGGAAGAAAAGAAGGAAGGAAAGAATGAAGAGGAGGATGAAATTTTTCAAATCCAATTGTTTTTAAGTACTTCACATTTCCAGAAATCAGAAACCACATGGCGCATTATGGTCAGTGGATGTTTTGAATTACTTCAACTACTTAATGGTTCCTCCTTACCCTGCCCACAGAATTGTTTCCCCGCGGTTTTAAAACTTACCTAAGTCACTAAGTTGGATGTTAAGTAATGTACTTCCTTAACCTTTTTGAAAGTGTTCAGTGCAGGTACTGGCTGCCAAGAACTGGAAACAGTGTCAATAATTAAACTATGTCCTAGCATAAAACAGATTGAGCTAATGAGTACTTGTAAGTATTTTTGACCTCAGACCTACTTTCTTCACATGCTGTTGGGCTAATTTGCATATTTTACTTTCAACGCACTGAAATAATCATTTCAGCATTTTGTTCTTTTTCACAAATTGTTCCTGACTCATACTGTACCGTGAGGTTCCTTATACTAACTGGTCAAAACGTGAGACCAAGAGCTTTGTCCTGATGTCCCATGTGGGCTACATACAAATAGATTATGGTCTGTGTTGATCAGGTCTGTAGATATACAGTATATAGAGCACATCCTAACTCATGTACTCTTTTACCTTGCAGCCCAAGTGAAGCCATGTGTGGGCCACATGGCTGTGCAGCCCAGGTCTGCAGGGGAAAATCGACTTATTATAAGGTAAAACCCACACGTCCTAAATATTCACAGCTTCATAAAAATTCTTGTTTTTAAAGTTTTGAACCTAAAGGTTACAGAACTTTCACAACCAAAAAGGGCCCTTTACATGTCATAGAACGTAATACTCAAAACACAGAGTGTACATTTATTTTACAGCGGTCATAAATAACATTGAATTAAACTTTGGAGTGTTTTGGTCTGGTTACAAAAAGTGCAGCGAGCACTTTAAACTTTAGCTGCCACAGTAAGTGAGAACAGCCCTGCTGGCGTTGGACTCGCCGTTCACCCGGCTCAAGTTGGCACCATTCAGAAGATCCACTGTTTTCTAAAATAACAGAGGATCTAAGGGCCATTACTCTATATACAGCGTATTGTAAAGCGGTAAGTGGAGGCGGGTGGAACATTTTGTAAATCTTGTGTCACCAAAACCGCCGCAGGCAGGATGAATGTGTTGGCTTGGCCAACAGGATATCCCCTCAGACGCGCTCTCTGCATCAGTAATGAGGATAACAGAGGGGGCATTATTTTTGCTCAACAGCTCGGTAAGGTGATAAAGGGCTCGCAGATCCTCTCACTGGGGTGCAGTAGTGCGCACACATCCATTCACGTTGACGCAACATTTCATCTCCTGAGCCGAATGGGGGTTTTCTGGCTTTAACCCCTGAAACGGAGCAACGGCAAACCTGACTCAGATCTGGGGGGACGGATTTCTAAACACACACACATGCAAAAGTACTGACACCGTGTCCTCATAAAAATGTCTTTATAATAACATCAGTGGGCAAAAGACAGAAGTGTTGGTGGAGGCTTTTAATACGTGCTGGATATTAAATGTGTCTGTATTTTCCATTTCCTCACATATTCTCATAGTGCTGCAGCCAAAAATGTTCCCGGTTACTGGGGGTGGGGGGTGGGGGGGGGGTGTGCTTATGAATCACTGTAACTATTTAGTCATTAACAGTAAAAACCTGATACTGTCAGTGCAGCTACAACGGTGGTCAAGTGTTTAAATGGGTCATGTGTTCCATGTGTGGTCATGTGTTTGTGCACTGTACCAAAATACAAAAGCCAGACTTAAAATTAGAAAAAAGGAACAAAACAAAACGCAGTCCAGTTGACTTTGAAAAGACAAAACTACCAGTTCTCTAAGGTTAAGGACTGTTTTGTTTCCTCATATTAGGCTGTTAGACTTTCAGGATCCTTTCTGGTAACAAAGCTCCTGCCAGAATGTGTTCTATTTACTGCACAGGTCTATACATGCGTACATGGCATGTCTTAGCCTAGATGTAGACATAAACATATGCACGTACCTGTGTACTGTGTATTTATTATATTAATACTGTGTATGTATTTAACATTGCTCTGTATCTGGAGAAAGTGTGACCTGAGCAAAAAGGAGCAAAATTATTTAATTTATATTTGTAGTTAAAAAATTAAACATTGTTAAGTATGGTTGGACTCGTACTTCTATTATCACTACTGAACTATTTTTTTAATAAGGGAGCCTCATCAGAATAGAAAAAAAAAGGTCTTATATATTTTGTTTAAAAGAAATGGTATTTTTATTCACACAATGAATGTTTAAAAAACATTTATTAAAAACAATACATTTTATTGTTGTTATTTTTATCAGGCATAGAATTAGTCACCTAAGCCAATGACTTTAATGTCATTAAATTACTGATTATCTGGGGAGTGACACAACACTTGTTCTAGAAGCTTTGTTTCTAAAGTTGATAAACGAGTCCGAACACTAACAGATACTGTAGCTGCCACAGATGAACCTGGTGTTAATTTACAGGTAGGAATTTGACCACAAAGTGTGTTCACTGAGTTAGCATCAAAGCTAATGCCTGTTAATTTATTCTAATCAGGCACAGGGCTGGTCACCACGGTCAGTTACACAGTTAATAGGTGTGTTTTGAAGTTGTTAAACTTGAACATAAACTGTATTAATTCAGGTGTTGTTATTATATTTATACAACAACTAAAACTCCACAGCAGATAAACCACAGTGGTTAATATCCTCTGAGTACGTTGTATAATGATTAAATGGCTTTTCTAATGAAAACCCTTTTTATTTCTTCAGCCAATGCCAGAATCAGGACAATGAAAAAATAACCTGCAAAAGGGTAAGTGGCCTTCATGATATATATTTTTTCATATATAACCATAACCAAGGTTACATTTTAAACCAAAACTAAGGCGTACAACACCATTTACTTTAAGGACATGGTCATAAAAAAAACAAAAAAACAAACAAAGCATGAAAATCTGCAGATCTTTCCCCTCTTTTTTCAGTTTTATGTTTTTCCCACTCCATTGTTTCTGACAAAAGAACATTTAGTTTGTGCAGTAGTGGCGGAAGAATTCACTTCCTCTTCTTGGGTAATAGCAACAATACCGCAGTTATCAGCAAAATGCTTTTAAAATGTCAAAGTTAAGCCTTTTTGCATTAAAGTACTCCCTATGAATCATCCATCTCTGCCCATAGTTAGCATCATCAAGTTGTGAAAGTGCCAACATCTTTTAAGTTTTTCACAACCAGTGCTGACGTTAATCTTCTGAAGTGAACTACGTATGTTATAGATTTTATTGTTTTACACACTTCCCTCAGTAATTGATGTGTCTATGGTCATTTTTTATTTTCCAAGAAATGTCAGAGACAGAAGTTGCTGCTCTTTATTGACGGTTGTTTATGTGTTCTCTTATATTTTTTAAAATTGATTTCTCTCCTCTGACAAATTAAGTTTGTTTCCAGAGATACAGTGGTTCTGTAACAAAGAAGCTGTTGAGGTTTTTTTTTTTCATTTCTTTGTTCCGGGCTCGGTTGCCATCGATGCTGTCGATGAGCTGAACAACAACAGGAACCGTGCTCTCATTCTGTTGTTACTTTGGGCTCTGAAAGTCAGATCTTTTCTCAAAATGTCTCAGCAACACTAGCAATGAGACAAACAATGATAAGATTCCTGTTATGGCTGGACACCCAGTTTTACTTCCCTGATCTGTTGGAAAGTGAAGATTGTTTTATGTATACTTTTGAACCTGTAGCCCTTGATGTGCCTCTACTTTATGTTGGTTAAATTATTGTGAAATTCTGAGGAAGTTCAGTGGCTCCGAAAAAAATGATATGAAATGAGGTTATATCACAGGTTACGACGCATAAACTTAAACACAGGCTGTTGGTCAGGTGGTTTTGAAGGTAGATTATCCAGGGTTCAGAGTCAAGTGTTGGTAGAACTTTGTTTACAATTTGTATTTTAAAAAACAATTATGAAGAAAGTATAAGTTTTTTAGGTTGTTAAGAAGACTTAAATATAGATATAAGTTAAGATGAACTAAAGCTTGTATAGCATAGTACCACATGGAAAAAATAATAAAACAAACTCTAAAAAAAAATAAAAATTAATTATTTAAAAAAATATTTTTATAGTCTTATAAAAAAAAAAGATATTTGGAAATTAAAAAAAGATCTAGTTACAGGTAAGATCTAACCATTTCCTCAAACATTGCAGTTTGCTACATCATTTGAGGTATTTTGCGGTTAAGGTATCTCGACAGTAGATACTTCCTCATGCAGACACACCGGCTTAAAGTGAATTCGAATGAGGAACCATTCATAGGTGATGGAGCATCGATTAAAACAAAACAAACCAAAGAAGCTGACGTAGCAGAGGCCACAAATGTTCAGTAAATTTGGAACACGGGTCCTGGCGTTTCTAATGCGCTAACCGCTACTTGACTGCACATGCATCATAATAAATATCCTGAGTAAAAATCCAGCTCAGTTCACTTTCTTCATTTTTTAAAAACACATTACTGTAGAAACCCCAGCCCTGATGTACTAAAAGCTCAATAATGAGGCCTCTTCATCACTGCCATCACTCTCATGGCTTGTTGAAGGGAGTTGCACTTAATTACAGTAAAAGCTGGGTGAACATAACGCTTCCTTTATTGCCCTGAAATCATTTCACAGGCTCTTGTAGCGCTGGCATCATTTGAAAAAAAAAAGACTGGGTCTGAGGTAGTCCATTAAAATTCTCATAAACATTAATTTTGCCGGTGGGGATGTAAGATTGTGTTACGCTCTTGGCAGCAGTGTGTTTGAAAAATGTGCTATTTCATTGGCTAAAAGAGTTTCCCTCTCCTTTGAAAAGTGTGTAATCAACACGCGTACTATTTGTCAACTCAGTCTGTAGAAGGTAAAAACATTTTAAAAAGTTGTGGAAGCGGACCAGTCAGCAGGCCTCCCTGTCAGGACGGTGTCAACATTAAACCAGACAAATTGTAGGGAGGTTACCCAGCGATGAAACTGTGCTGAGTGATTAGTAAAGTGTTTTAGAGTAATACTGAAACAACAAAAATAAATACATACAGCTTCTTTTTTTAGATACTAAGAGAGAGCAGTAAAGGCTGTATAGCTGTAACTACTCCATAACATATTAATACATGTTTCTGCAATTGATTATTATTTATTCAAGTTACAAATATTGTTCATCGCTGTTTAATAATAAAAAAAAAATTAATTTATCAAGTTAGGAAACTCTGCGGCATGGACTTTATTAAATGCTTTTTATGCTCCTGCGGGCCATACAAACTGACTTGGTGGGCCGCATTTGGCCCCCGGGCCTTGAGTTTGACACAGTGTGATCTACGCTATGCTTGAATGGGATGTTGTTGTTGTTGCTGTTGCTGTTGTTGTTGCTGCTGCTGTTGTTGCTGTTGTTGTTGTTGTTGTAAGTACAAGTGGACTCATGTCTCACTCGGCTGGTTCTAATTGCTGGTCTTGGGATGAAGGAGAGGCTGACACCAGACTTAGTCTGTGGGTCCGAGCTCAGTGTGAGACGTTACAAGCTCTGAGTCTGTCATTGACATTGACTTGTGTAAACTCTCAGGTTCCTGCATTTTTACCCTAATGTCAATCACAGGTGCTGTGATCATGCAGAGAGTGACTCCGAATGATGTGAGGAGTCAAATATATGAAGCACTTTTGTGGCAACGGGGACTGGGCTTCCTGGCACTCAGTAGGTACACGCTCCATTGATGCCGTGCCAACAGCCCGATTTACACCGGGGTCAGATTTATGGCTAGATATTTAGCTTGTCTCTGCCACTCTGCAGGGCAGAAAGAATAACATTGCTCCCTTTACTGGCTTACGCTCAGAGTCTGGAGATATTTCCCCACAGAGGAACCAGGAGGCTGGCTGCACATCACAGGCCGGCTGAGAGCAAAAGTGAAATGTCAAAAACAGCCGACCAATCTCCTCTTCAAAGTTACTATGTGGTCTGCAGCTCTGTTTTATCACTGGGCGCGGCCTTAGGACCTGAGTTTTTGACTTGGCTGTCTTGGTGGCAACACTCTCATCCCCGTGGCCGACCAACGACATGATTATTTGAGGTGAACAGCAGGGGTGCTCCGACGTCTTTGAATAAGGCCCAAATTCAATGTTGTAAAAATACAGAGAGACCGACTGGGCTGCTGTGATATTTGAGAGCCATGAAGAAAAAAAAAAAGTACAAATATCTTTCACAAGAAAATAACACTCAAAACAACCTAGCACAGTAGCTACGATGTAACTAAAACTTGGATTTCCATCATTTGGTTTGGGAAGTTCAATTTAGCCTTGAATTGGGTGGCTAAAAGTTAGCAAAGTGTTTTTAAATGACACAAAATAATTTAAGATTTTTATTTTTATTAAAGGGAACAGCTTGATAGTAGGCACATGAAAACGTTATCCAAAATTTAGCACCAATGCTAAAACTAAGGCAAGGATTAGCTACACAGTAATTTAGCCATAGTACCTCATGTCGACTGCTGAAAGTGGTTCAAGATTAGCTCTGAACAAAGCGATCAGGAAAGAAAATAGCAAAACCTTAGCAAAAGCATGACTAAATGATGCTATAAAACAGCTACAGGTTTGACAGTACCAAAAAAAACTTGAGGGTAACCAGAAAAATGGTAAAAATAGATAAAATACTGTGGAAATACTTGTCCTTTTAACCTGTTTAGCGGGGTGTGTGTGGGGGGGTGTGGGGCGCTAAAAAATTCTACATAATTTTGTTGTACTAAGATGACTAACTTCAAATGCCTTGTTTTTCTTTTCTATTTTTTTTTTGCGTAGCAGTGACTCCGATGATAATAAAAGGGGAAACTAGTTGCAGCCTGTCATCATCGGATTGAGGAAGTGGAGGTGCTGCGGTATCAATATAGTTTTCTAGAGAAATTATGACAGACGGGTCACCAGGGAGTTGACACTAGAATGTGATTCTGTGTCATCACAAAATAAGGAATAGAAGAAACCAAATTAAAAATGAGGTCCAGGCGTTCAGCGTGATCCAGATGAAGTTGCCAACCTTCGCTGCGAGACCAACGACCCTGTATTGATGTCGTTTCTTTAACATAACAGTAAATGGTAAAAATAGGGAAATACCGTTTTTTATTTTCCTGTTACTTTAACCCTGGAACGTGTAGCTTTCCAGCTGCTCCTGCTGCTCAAACCCCTGAAGTAGTTTCACTTCTCTCTTTTTTTTTCGTTTAAGTTGCAAAATACCAAGTGAGTGTTGGCATGATCATTTTCCCTCAAAAAAATGAAAAAAAAAAGAAGTTTTTGTGGCCACAGCACTTTAGAACGCTGGCAGGAGAGGGATGCCAGGAGTGTGTAGAAGAATTACTGTGTGACTGTAGATGAAACCAAACCATTTGACTTCCACCACAATAAACAGTCCTATGTTCACAAGTGGAAACCATCAGTTACCTGGAGTGAGAGACATTTCTGAAGGGCACACACACAGAAATAACATTTTGTGTGTGTGTGTGTTTGTGTTTCCACTTCCTACACTCAAGTTCCCTCCTGAGATTTTCTGCTTGTTGGGTTTTATCCTCACGTTTCTTATTTGTTTATCAATGTTGAAGCTCAAACTGTTTGCGTCCAGTCTCCATCATCTTCTCGCCAAAACTCTAAATGTTGGATGAATATGTCCAAAGTCTGGTCTGGGGCCCATTCATAGCACTTGGATTTGTTTTTTTAAATGTGGCTTGATGTTTAACTTACAATTAACCTTACTTTTGGGTCTTTCTCTAAAATTGTCTGTTTGGTATTTTTGTGCAGCCAGTGGTAGAAGGATGAAAATGT